TTAACTGTGCTCATGAGTACCCCTGCCAGTGCAGGCTGACCAGATGGCCCTGGAGAGCTGGTTACCTGATCTGATTACAAAAAGTTGTTTGTTGAAAGCTGAATGCCAGCAACTGAATGCCGAGGACTGAGTTATGAAGACTAATGCTGAAGACTGATTGCTGGAAGATTAATACTGAAGAACTGATTACCAAGGAATTACTGCTGGAAGCTGATTGCCAATAAATTACTGCTGGAAATTGATTACCAAAAAATTACTGTCGGAAACAAATTATAGGGAACTGATTGCTGCTGTAGAACTGACGGCTGTTGAGATTACTGGCTACTGAGTCAAATGCTGATTATTTTCTGAATTGCTGGTTTGTCGGTGATTACCGTGTCATAAATGTTTGCCATTTATCCTCGTGTCTTGCAGGTTTGCAGTATTTCTGGTAGCTACTAGTTTCCAACCTGACCCAATCTTATCTTACTCACTCCCTGCCTGGTGCAATTTCATTTTACTTGTATCTGCAAATGGTTCTCYGTGCYTCCTCAACAGAACCCACAKATGAGATAGTTGCACACAATCTTCCGCTCTTGTCATACAGATAGTAGGTGTATTCAATTTTTGTATGGTGTCTTACGAGTGTCAGCGCGTGCTCCATCATGACGGTAGTCTGGCAATTATAGTCATCGGTTGTTGTCTCCCTCCAATCCCTTATTGATGCTTGATGCAACGAGCAAGCCACGCTAACTGTATCACTGTCCCCCATCTCTTCTCTGAGTTTTCCACTGTTTGGTTACCAGTTGACTGCTGCTGCTGAGATTGCCGCTCAAAAGTGCCGTTCTGAATGCAGTCCCAAGTACCGCCCTGGGAACCGTTCAAAGTACAGTTTTGAGTACAACTCTGAGTACAGTTCCAAGTACAGTTCCTAGTACTGTCCCGAATACTGAGTTTAAACACTAATCTGAATATGGCCCCGAGTGCCAAGTCTGAACCCTTATCTGAATACCGCTCAGGGTTTCAGTAACCCGGGTGCCCCGTTCGAAAACCGTCTGCTCTTTTTCTTTTTACTGCTCAGCTTCTGCCCTCGCTTGCTCGACCATTTCTAGTTGAGAGAGAGTGTTGTGCGGTTTCCCATCAAGTCCGTAGAAGTAAATTACATATTCAATGTACTTCCTTTCTCCAACTATCTCAACAACAAACTTTCTCTGAATCATTCTGTGTTTCTCCATGTCCTTGTGTGCCTCGTCCTCCCAGCCTTCCCCCTTGTCTCTGTTGGATCTGCTTTTAATTACTAGAATCTCATCCTCTTTCATGATTTCCCAGTTACTTCGTGATTTAACCACAACCTGAACGAGATATGCGAAGTTGGTGTGCCTCGACCACTGCCCAAGGCCAAAGCGGCAAGTCACTATGCCATATGATTGGTTACAATTACCGCTCACTGGATGTCTTCTGGCGTCCAGGATGCTGACAGATTAACTATCAGACTTTGGCCACACATTGACTTTGCTTGAATGATGATTGAATATTAACTGAGCAGCGATCTAATTCTGACCGTGTACAAATTGATCATCGCACTCGACGAACAAGCCACTATTGGGGCTATAGTTTTCATGCCTGATTCCCCCGGTGATCCCTACTTCCTCTTTATTTTATCTGCGGTCTTTCAGTGAAAAGGATTTGTACTGCACAACTTTTCTTCCAGCTCATGGAGATAAACCATTACTCACTTACCCTTCAATATTTGCTCTCCCATGACTTGACCTGGTCTCCGCCCACCTGCTCGTGAGCCTGCATTGTCATGTCTAGCTTGAGCTCTTACATAAACTAGCTCACCGCCAGACTAGTGGGTAGTCCTGAGTCGACATCCGTGCAGCCCCTTTTTCGCCGAGGGCACACACACTTGACAGGTCAGTTTATAGCCAGGAAGAACCTACCCCTCTCCATGATAAGCTAACTTTGTTGTAAGACTTGAAATTGTGCACGATACTGAGTATCACTTGAGGACATTAAGGTATCCCGTATCGCTCAGGAGACGTGATCCCAGAGTCGATCGTACACAGCAACAGACATCCGACACTCAACCCTCAGATGAGAGCCAGACTTCTAGGACTCAACTGATACAGTATCACCGCCCCTTTTCTCACGCGTACAAAACTTAAGAAAAGTTCTCGACTCTGTCTCTTGGTCTAATCAGCTTAGTACGGAGCTCAGTAATATACGAACTCAGTTCATTCGTCACACAGAAGACGTTTCCGCACGTGGACGGGGTAAAACGTGCAGTGTACAACGTTTCAGTTGCGTTCCGACTTAAAACATTGTTACTCTTAGGGCGAGAGCTCAAACTAGCTTCCCACCTCTGCATAAACGAATTTTAAATAACCCGATTTATATATATATGTGTGTGTGTGTATATATATATATATATATATATATATATATATATATATATATATATATATATATGTATTAATTCATAACGGTCTCAAACAACCCAATCCTTCATTATGCAGTCATCGAAACCCATATTCCCATTTAATCAGTGCTTCACCAGAAAAGAGGGGTATCCCCCTACTCAGAGCTTCACGTACCTCACTGAACAAACATGAAGGTCAGTCCCCGTCAATTAGGAACTTGACAAGTAAGTAAGCGACTTTTCTAAGCACAGCGTACCTCCCTCCCATCAAGCCACAATAAACATTTTAGGTGTCTTTCAAGTTTGAAAACTTTTGTCCCTTTGTAGAAGAAGTGGACTCTGAATGACACGAATGAGATAGCAGAGACTTCCGAATTACTGTAATCACCCAAACGCGTTATGGACATAAGATCCGGGCGGAAAGGAAAGGGCTAAAAGGGAGTATAGGAAGGGAACTTCACCCCGCGCAAGCTCATCGCAGTCCAGAGATAGTCTCAAGGTCAGCGGCCTTTCTAACATTCCAGTATGGCACTTATACCGAATGAGAAAAAGTGGTCTCCAATGAAGTCTAAGTCTTAGACAAAAATCCTCTAAAAGTATGATCAGTCACTCTTACGTGGCGATTATTTAGCAAATCATTCACCACTGGCGTGCACTTTGCCCGACGAATTGAAGACGATCATTCGATTAAACGACACATTATGAAATGACGGCGTTATCACACCAGAAGTGACTGCTTTCCTCAAAGTTCTCGCTACATGGAGCAAACTACCAGAGATACCATGATCTATGACAAGTGTGTCCACAGAAGAGCTAAGAGGGTCTTAACAACCAAAGTGAAATCCACACAAAACACACTAAGTCTCATTCGTTCCAGAGTTTACCTGATGGTTATGACTCTTCCATCACTAATTATTTTTACAACTATTATAGCTCCCTTCATGCAAGGTCCTCTTTAATAATTTGGGGAACTGATCGTTAACAGTCGCGGGAATGTACCCTGAGCAAACGAGAGCACAGATAACAATGCCGGGAAATAAGCCAAGAAGTAAACCAAAAAAAGGCCTTCAGTTCCCACGATCCAACCGACGGTGAACATCAGAGATAGATGATGTCGACTGCTTAGTTATGAGGCGACTACTCAATAGAGACCTTCCATAAGTTGATCGCCTAATCATGCGAAGAAGAAAACGATAACCTCAAGTCTTGATTCCCCCGCTTAGAGCTTGCTCCACATGCTCAGCACCACCCAGGAGATCAGGTTGGCGTCAATGAAAAGTTTCTCAGTCACCCCCGCTCTTCCTCTTCTCACCTGTCTGAGCACAGAGAGGATTGATATCACCCGCTCGTGACAAAAGCATAAGTTGACATCAACTGGTACGACCTGCTCTTGCCACCCTTTCCTCTCTCGTCCGCTTATACACTCTCTGCATAGCGACCACTCACAGCACACATCCTCTCAGTTCGAGAGTCTCTCATCCTACCGTTCAGTCGTTTTTGCGGTCTCCTCTTTCGTTGACCACTCCCCCCCCGATCACTGACCACGTACTAATTAACGGGTATTTACAACTCAAGTTCAAATGAAAAAAGGCTGCTGATCTAAGTCCCAAACAAAGAGGGACCATGCTCAGCGTGCGGCAAACGGTTCGAGTAGCAACTTGCATTACGCCTCGCAGACTAGCCTCTCTTGATGGTTACTTTTCACGTTATCCCTGCGGGTTCCCTTCTTCCCTCATCTTTTCGTCATTACTGCAAGTGCAGGCACGCCACACGAACGTGCGAGCGGTGGTTGATGTCAACTACCCTCTGTGGACTCACGTCTAGCCTTACTCACGCCGTCTCCCTTTCCGCTGGCTCTCCTCTCACGCACCAGGCCTTGCTACGTGCAGCCCGCGCCCGCACATAACCACCTCTCGACTCAGTCACGGTGCTTGCTCTCTCGGACTCGCAGGCATGTCTTCTCTTTGCAGCTTGTCACACACTGCAGTCCGGTTGACGTCACCATCTCCCACCTGGTCACACATCCAGTTCTCGCCTCTCTCCTTTGATCGTGACCACTTAGCATCTCTAAATCACATTATTGGGGACATCCCTGATTGCGCTGGAAACAGACCCGCACAAAAATGGCGCTTCTCAAAAAAAAAAGAAGGAAAAAAAATTGGGCATACGGAAATGACGTGCCCTCGCATGTTCAGGCAAGCAGACCCTTGTACCGAGAGTAATAGGGAAATAGATATCCCTCTCTGGATGACAAAACGCACGATGCGGAGGTGAAGGCAACACCAATCAACACCATACGTGCGAAAACCTCCCTCAAATCTCCTCTCCTCTTTCACCCTTCTCTCTCTCTGGCCAAGTATAATCAGCTCGTGCATCACACGAACGCGTAGATGGTAGATACCGTCAGACACATTGCGCGTGTGCCCCTCTCTCTCCTCTCAGTCATTGACCTTCTCTTATTATCTTAGCCTGCCACTTGAAGCCTACACGCACGCTCGAATGCTCTCGCTCCACATTCTTGTGCATAGCTTGCTGTGCTGACGTCAACCTCCTCTCCTCCCTTTCACGCGTTGACCTTCTCCCTCCCTCTCTCACGACACCTGTTGAGTGTATTACGCGTCACACGTCCTTGCCTCAGCCTCCTTTTTTTTCTGACCCTCTCGCCCCGCGTATATCGACCCGCTCGTCTCACACCCGTTTCTTCCCTTTGCTCTGTTTTTCTCCCGTCCCGCGGCCTCTTGGCGTCAGTCGTTGAGAGCTGGCCTCGTGTCCCTTTTCCACTGGGTTTGCCGCTCTGTGGTGCTTCTGGATCTCGCCTGGCCTGATCCAGGACCTGAGGTCTGTCTCCTGATCCTCCGCCTCGCTCATCTCACTCTCCCCACCTGAGTCCCGTTCCAGGTGGGCCTGTTCCCAGTCCGCCGTGTCCATCAAGGTCTCGGTCTCATGATACGAGACCATTACCTGCATTTTCGTCGTCACCCCATCTCTTCTGCAGCGCCTCTCCACACGGTCTTTCGTCTCCGTGATAGCGTCATGTAGCCTTCCATCAGTCCACATCTCCTCCTCTTTTCCTCCCTCCACATTGATCCTCAGTCTCAGCTCGTCACTCCCATCATAATTGAGTATAGCCGTGATCCAGGGCCCCTCCCCGGACATAGGCTTCCATCGAATSTGGTGGTACCARTAGCAGGGTCTATACCCATGCAACGCCATAGCCACCCAGAGATAGYCGCGCCCAYTATAGCCAACGCTTAGAACGTTACTTGCCCGTACCGCACTAGAGGGCATAGGCCAAAACAGGACTCAGAGCGCTGGGAGAATACAGCCTCAGCGTTTCYCCTCTATTCGCARCACGTCASCCTCACACGCTSACTCAGAAACCCAGGGGCAATCTCCCTTTTATAACACCCTGTGAGGCCGCGACCCCTGTGCTCTAAAGGGAGTTCGAAGTAAGACTTTAAAATCCAAAATCAATCAGATTTTAAATTCAAACGATTGTTTGATAATTACGTAAAAAAAAGAAAAGGATCGCAGAGCAACAGTCGCGGGTCGCGACCTCTTGTGGTTTTTCTTGCGACTGGACCGCAGCTGGCGCGATAATCCAATAACGGGATCCCAACTGGCGCTCTTTCCATTCTAAAACCCGCAGTTGAGCTTATTGTATTCGGGTACCCACTTCCGATGGCAAGGAGGGGGTGTATGACTTCCTATAGGGGGTGATACACCTCCTACCGATGCGGCCACGGGTCACCCTCCTCTTTTGGGTTCCAGCCGTGCGGCACTCTCCGGACAACTCAATCAATAAATAGTTCACGAAGGGGCAGACTAAAATAAGCCTTCAGCCCGCGGCCACGGTTTGAAATCGAACCGTTGGAGCAGTGACATGACAAGCACGGAAATCCCAACAGAGTCCAATAATATAAATAATAAAACTAGTAACAGTAATAATAATAATAATAATTACTTACAAGAATAGTAGGAAAACGAAAACTACAGCGTCGCACAAAGCCCTAAGGCAAACGGACCCGACGTTTGGCTCTCTCACGTTCTATTTCTCTTTTTACATCTTCTTTACAGCTGAGCTGCTAGCACCTAACCCATAACTTGCCAGAGGGGGTTTCAGCGCGCGACAGAAAAGACCGCGCCTGTCCTTTCGCTTCCGCGTCCCAAGGCAAGCCCTGCGGCTACCACGGCCACAGGCCGGTAGTGCTCTGCTGTACAGCAGGGCGCCGAGCCTGCGTGGACCAACGGAAGCCCTATGGCACACCCCTTTTGCCAAGTGCGAGTGCTAAGACAGGGTTGGTCCTAACCGAGGCACCACTTGGATATATCAGTATAGTACCGGGTTCGATAATAGTTTAACAAGCCACAACAACAGAGCAAGGGACTAGAACCAGGTAGGGACTTGGTGCACAGAGGAGGGCCGGGATACCGCGCCCTCCGACACCGTGCCCTCGACTCCACGGGTTGTGTGAGGGCTTACCCGTTGGGTACCCGTGAGAAAGGGGGGAGGGACAACCCTGTCCAAGCAGAATGACCAGAGGAAATTCAAGGGAGTGGTACGAAGGAAACCAAGGAGCACCTGAGGGGCGGCCCAGTGAAAGTTAGAGAGCGTTGTGTGGAGGCCGCGGTGACTTGGGTATAAAGCTGAAATAGCGGATTTGTCTGCTTAGTAGGTTTGGATTCCTTCGAAGTTCTCCTAGAATGTTGAGCCTTAGTGACCAAGGGGCCGCTCGCTACGACGGATAGGTGAGCAAACGGGGCCGCGACAACAACCTACCTGAATATTCCTTCTCCACCTAGGCCCTCAAAAATTCTCATCTGAATTTTTGTTGCTGCCATTAGGATCGGGCCTGGCTTGCCCAGGCCCACGTTTATGTTTGCAGCAAGTCCGCGCCGCCGACCCGTGACCTTTGTTTGTGAGCGTGAGCTGCCCCACTAAGAGTCCGAAGGGCAGTGGACTCTGAATGGGTGGAGCAACTAGAAGGGAAGTTGGGGTCCGCAGCGGTATTACGGGCGTATCGGTCGTCCGACAAGGTAAGTGGGTGGAAAGCTGGCTGAGTCGTTTTACCAAATCGGTCGCTTCCGAAACTCCTTCGGATTGAGGGAGCTACTGCGCAGAGGCATTACGAATCTGCGGTATCAGGAACATTAGACGATGAGAGTTGCGTTAGCAGAGCTATGTTAGCGAAGCTGCGTTGGCATGGAGGGGCGGAAACTAGAAGGAGAAGGATGAATCCGGACGAATGTCGGGTGAAAGCACAGAGACAACCCATTGCCTCCCACCATCACTGTCTTGGTTGCAGCGTTGAGGTTTGTATTGACTCGTGAATTCCGGTTGCGGGGGTAGAGAAAGGCTAGGAAGAAGAAAGGGTGAATCCGGGCGTGAAAACTCGGCAGGTGAATTCGATGACGAAGTTGAAGAAAAGCAGCTATAACGAAGACATAAGTGTGCAGTTTACTCATTTCCTATCGGAAACGATTGAGAGGAGGTGTCAACCCGGGGTTTCTTGGGCGGGCGAATCCAAATTTGTCTTTAGTTTGAGTGATGCGTTAGTATAGAAAGACGTTAGTAGAAAGAGTGGTGCGCGCGGTGATGGCGGAAAGCGGGGGAGACAAGGAGTAAAGGCGGCATCACTGACTCTGTTTCCTAGCAAAAGCACGCAAAGTAAGGGTCGAGGTCGGGGTTTCAAGGCGCGGCGACTCTAGATTTGCCGTTAGTTTTAGTGGTGAATCGCTAGGGACCAGGTTAGTAGAGAAGAAAGATACGCGTTGTTGTCGAGAGAGGTGGGTATGGCGGATAGGACAAGGCATAGCGTGCTCGATTCTTGGCAGGATTAGGCAAGCTAAGATGCGAATTCAGAGTTTAGGACGTAGATAGGTGTGACAGTAGTGTCGGTTTGTGAAACAGGTTGGTAGAATATAAGTTTAGTGCGGGGTGAGGTGCGTGCAGGTGTCAACGAAGAAGTTGTGGTGGGATGCGAAATAGAGAGTTCGGGCGATCTTGGATGAAATCAGACGAGAGAAGTGTCGTACTAGGAGTCTTGCCGGCCGATGAAACTATGGGCAATATCAGTTTTGGCATTGTGACGCCAGATTCGGCAGCATGATAGTTCAGGACTGCGGGGAGAAAACGGGAGTTTGGCTATGGTACTGTATCTTCCCATGTTTCAGCGGGAGATACATCCCTGTGTTTCCAAAAGTTGGTAAGTGTGATAGAAGGGGAGAAAAGAGGGGAGTGGGGGCCTACATGAAAGTCGAGCTGTAGAGTGAATGGCAGAGGCGGTATTTGGAGGTGGAAGGCTCAGAGTTGGCGATATGGCGTGAAGGAGAAAGGTACGAAAAGGGGCGGATCCCCGCTTTATCGGAAGGCTCACTCTTATCCCGCAGATGAGGTGGATAACAGAAGCGCTGCCCGTCGCAGTGTTTAAGATTGTCCTTTTCGTTCGTGGTTGCTTACCCCGACTGTGATCATCTTTCTAGCTCACATCCCCGATGCTGATTCGTGATCGTGTCACTCGCTCGTATAAAACGAGTGAGGCAAGCATCATATCAAAGCCGTGCTTATGGTGAGAGAGAGGAGGCACTCACCTTGAGGAGCTAGCCATGCGATGGAACCGAAGGAAGAACTACGAGGCTGACACCTTCAGGCACTTCGGTTGTTGCTGGTGACGCCAACAGGATACTGCCAACTCATAGGTTGCTGGAGACTTTGGAGTACCATCTGGGCACATACAGCCAGTGGAAAGGATCTCTGCCTAATTTGCTGGTATTGGCAAACCAGGCTACTGGTTGCAGCCGGAGTAGCACGCAGGAAGCCGCAAGGAGAAGACATACATGCCGGCCAGTGTATTGTCATACAATTGTCAGCGCTAGAGCAAAAGAGCGGGCTGCGAGGTCGTCGGTTTATCCGCTGACCAGCATAGTGCTCGGCACGTCAAACAAGTTGCAGCAGACCAGCAGCGAAAGTGCAGGTTAGTGAATGACCACTGCACTTTTGGTCGCGAGCTTGGGAGACTGCTGATTTCATTGAAGAAGAATATGGGGGGGGGGGGCTCTTGCTACAAATTAGAGAGTCGCCAGAGAATTAATAGCCGACAGTTTGACTTCAGCTTGACCAGTGGTTGCGCGTCTTGGCCACCATTGCGGGGCCCTGAGGTGCACCAAGGCTACAATGTCCTTTCCTGGGACTTGAGTTTGTCCCCCTCTTGTATCTCGATAGTCTAAAACTCCTCCTTCTGCCTTTCTTACTTTAAGTCAAATTCGTTCTGAGAGGAAGGCGACAGGCGGGATTGCAACCCGTAGGATCACAACAAGATTCTATGGGGAGTCAGCCTATCGATTGCAGGAGCTCTGCCGGAACTCTGGAGGAGATCTGGAGGCAGGGAACTGGGAGGTAACATTTTCATCCTCCTTTTATAAACCCAGTTATAACCCGTATTCGTACTCCTTGCTATGTTTGACTGAGTATATTGTGTGCACCGCTACTTTGACTTTCAGTTTGACTTTCAGGACATGATCAAACTTAAGTAAAAGAATGCATGTGTAATGTCAGTTTCAACGTTGTTGTCTGATTGAAAGCAGATTGTGGGAAGGGATTGCATCTGGAGGAAGGATGGGAGAAAGGCAGTATTGCTTGTGTCTACCTGGGTCCATCAAAGGCTAGACAAGTCTCCAGAAGTTTGGGGAGACCCTGTTATATGTTTATCTTTGAGTTGTCTGAAGGACCAGATATGTTTCATAAGCTTGGGTGGTCGGGTTGCTTTGACTTGCGAGGGCTATCTGTGGTTAACTTCTTGGGGACCAAGAACTATCTCATAAGTTTGGGTGACTTGGTTGCCTTGTTTATTTTAGGGTTTCTAAGTTTCTTTGGGTTTGAACGAGGGGGTATGAGTACTGTCTCATAAGTCTGGGTGACTCAACCTCTTTCTACTTCACCATTAAGAGAAATGGATTGGGCAGAGGACAATACATGTTTCATAAGTTTGGGTGGTCTTGGTCCAATGCCACGCACAAACTGGAAACAAAGGGTTATAATTTGACTATATTTTATCACTACTTTACCTATGAAGAGGCTAGTCATACACTGTCCCATAAGTTTGGGTGGTCTAACTATAACTTATCACAAACTGAAGAGAGCATTAATTAAGAATAAACTTGTGGTAAGAAGGGGCAGGTTGAACCTCAAGCCAAGATGATCTGTTCAGTCATATGCTACCTTAAAAGATTAAGTACAGA